ATTGGGATGGTTCATGAGTAGGAGATTCCAAGTTCGGCATCTCCAACAGTGACACAGCAGCTTCTTTGGGACCTGTTCCTACTGGGAAAAATAGGTTTTATATCCCTGGATCCATGATCCCTGCWCAGCTGAGCCTCACGTGAGCTGGATCGATGATTCCAGAGACCAAGGTGTCTGAATGATTCCAKAGACCAAGCTGGTGGAAAACCACTAAAAATAGACTCCAAATATTTCCAGTGGTGCTTGGGAATCCCAGCTGGAGCTCGGGAGGTGGGGAGGGTTGGGGTGAGGGAGGGGGGAATTCCTGAATTATTATTTTGTTGGAAACTGGACTTTGAGATCAGGCACTGGAGGGAGCCCCGGCCACACCTTCCATGAGTAATGTCCCTCCACCCCTTCCTGGCTTGCACTTGCAGCACCACGTGGGATAAGGGAGAGCAGGGTTTGCAGGGAGTGGGACCTGAAGGGGATGGGAAAGCGGGAGAAATGTGGGAAATGTGGAGGGCAGGAGAAAGGAAAACCAGTGAGGGACTGTGTTTGGAAATGCTGGAGCTGCCTCCATATGTGTCAAAGCAACAGGCTTAATTTTTCAGGGTTCAGAGCTCTTTAGGATCCCTTGGTGTCATATTTTTACTGTAAATTTTGTTGTTCCATAGGATTTTACACCTTAAGATGGGGAATCCGAGGCCAAAGCCAACATGGTAGATCCAGAGGGTTCAAAATCTGGGCTTGGGGTCCTTTCCCAAATCTTTTTATCCTCCTTGGACTYAGTTTTATGGTCCAACACAGTCACAGGCAGGAAGTGCTGGTGGAACTGGATGGGCTTTAAGGTCCCTTTGCACCCAAACTATTCCAGGATTCCATGATCCCTGTCCCTTGAGATCAGTTCTAGGAATCTCTCCTTCAGTGGAAAAGAAAATTGAGGAAATATCGAGATGCTTTGAGTTATCCCAAGATAAAGTCATCCTGCCATATAAAAAGAAGGATTTTAGTGCAAAGACAGTTAATTAAGAGGCAGTTGTTGGGATTGGATGGGAGTGACAGGGAGARGAGGATGAGTGTTGTCAGTCAAGAATATATTCCAAATATTCAATATTTTGGGTATTTGAGGCAAAATAGTGAGGAAATCTGCCCTGTGGGTGCTGAGATCTTTCTGCAAGGAAGGTGAGTCCAAACTGGGATWTTCCCAGTGTCCTGCAGAGTGAGGGATGTGCCTCTGGAGCTGTAAAGCAGGATCTCATTGCCTGGGGCTGTTCCCAGCTGAATTATGCCATGGATGAGCTTTAAGGTCCCTCCCGAGCCAAACCRTTCCAGGATTCTGGGATTCTAAATTGCAGAATCATGGAATGTGATTCTACAAATCAAATGATGATTTTATGAATCTGTAAAACCATGGGATATGAGTCTGTGGATTCTAGGATTCTAAATGACAGATTCATGCATTTTAAGATTCCAAATCCTAGAATAATGGAATATCCTGAGTAGGAAAAGACCCCCAAGGATGATCTAGTCCAATCCTGATTTTACTTCTGGGTTTAATCTTTATGTAATTAAAATATTACAGACCAACATCTAACAGGGTTTAGGCTGGGCTGGTGCTCAGCTTGCTGGGAAAACTCCGTTTTTCCTTAATTTCCCTTCCTTCCCACGCAGTTTGTGTTCAAAACGGGGGGCTGAGAGCAGGAACAAGGGSAACAAGGAATAACAATTGTCGTAATGTGGAGAGAGAGGAGAAAAAAGGGCTCGTTCTCTCCATCCCGAAATAATAGACCCATTACTGTCCCCAATCACCAATCCCCTCCTCTCCCGGGAGAAGAATTGGTCACTGCACAGCTGTGAGAGCGGGATAAATATATTTATATATCCCGGAGAATCTGCCCTTCTTAATTGGGATGTGGGGCTGGACAATCCCTCATTGTGCCCTGGCTGGCCCGCAGCAGAAAGGCCCCACAGTTTGGGGCTGGCAGGGCCCCGGCACTCCGAGAACTCGGAACTTCATGGACATTATTCCCAGCGGGGCCTTATTTATTTTATTGGAGTCATTGAGCGCTGGGCTGGGGTGTGTGGGGAGTCAGGAGTTATTGGGGATTGTGGGAACTTCTGGGGAGAACAAACCACAGCTGGGCCTTCCTCTGAGGGGACAAGGGTTGGGGTTTGGGGTGGGATTTTGGTGGATTTAGGGCTGGATTTGGTTGATTTAAGTGATCTGTGACTGGATTCGGGTGATTTGGGACGGTATTTTGGTGGATTTAGGGCTGGATTCTAGTCATTTGGGGCTGGATTTAGGTGTTTTGGGGCTGGATTTGGGTGATTTGGGGCTGTGTTTTGGGTAGATTTAGGGCTGGATTCTAGTGATTTGGGGCTGGATTTGGGTGATTTGGGGGTGTGTTTTGGTGGTTTGCAGCTGTATTTGGGTGATCTGTGACTGGGTTTGGGTGATTTAGGGCTGGATTTGGATGATTTGGGGCTGTATTTTGGTTTGCAGGGGATTTGGGTGATTTGGGGCTGGATTTTGGTGGATTTAGGGTTGGATTCTAGTGATTTGGGGCTGGATTTGGAGCTAGATTTTGGTGCTTTGCAGCTGGATTTGGGTGATTTGGGGCTATATTTTGGTTTGCAGTGGGATTTTGATGGTTTGTGGCTGGATTTGGGTGATTTGAGGCTGTATTTTGGTGAATTTGGGGCCGGAATTGGGTGATCTGTGACTGGATTTGGGTGATTTGGGGCTGGATTTTGGTGGTTCGGGGCTGAATTTTGGTTTGCAGGGGATTTAGGTGGTTTGGGGCTGGATTTGGGGCTTTATTTTGGTGGATTTAGGGCTGGAGTCTAGTCATTTGGGTCTGCATTTTGAGCTAGGTTTTGGGGGTTTGCAGCTGGATTTGGTTGATTTAGGGCTGAATTTTGGTGATCTGTGACTGGATTTGGTTGATTTAGGGCTGGATTTGGGTGATTTGGGGCTGAATTTGGGTGGTTTGCAGCTGAATTTGGGTGAATTTGGGCTGGATTTTGGTGGTTTGCCCCTGGATTTGGTTGATTTGGGGCCGGATTTGGAGCTAGATTTTGGTGCTTTGCAGCTGGATTTGGATGATTTGGGGCTGGATTTTGCTGGATTTAGGGTTGGATTCTAGTGATTTGGGGCTGGATTTGGAGCTAGATTTTGGTGGTTTGCAGCTGGATTTGGATGATTTGGGGCTGTGTTTTGGTGGATTTAGGGCTGTATTTTGGTGAATTTGGGGCCGGATTTGCATGATCCGTGACTGGATTTGGATGATTTGGGGCTGGATTTTGGTGATTTACAGCTGGATTTGGGGGATTTGGGGCTGGATTTTAGTTTGCAGGGGATTCTGGTCTTTTGGAGCTGGATTTGGGTGATTTGGGACTGGATTTTGGTGGATTTAGGGCTCGATTTTGGTGATTTGGGGCTTTATTTTGTTGGTTTGGGGCTGTATTTTGGTTTGCGGGGGATTTGGGTGGTTTGGGGCTGGATTTGGGTGATCTATGACTGGATTTGGGTGATTTGGAGCTAGATTTTGGTGATTTGGGGCTGGATTTTGGTGATTTGGGGCTGGATTTGTAGCTGGATTTTGGTACTTTGCAGATGGATTGTGATGATTTAATGCTGGGTTTGATGATTGTGACAGTTTTATGATACTTGGGGCTCCTTCAGGGTATTTTAAGGCTGAATTTTGATAATTTGGGGCTGGATTTGTTTGGAGCTGGTTTCGGGAGATTTGGGGCTGAATTTTGGTCATTTGCAGTTGGATTTGGATGATTTAGGGCTGGGTTTGGTTGCAGTTGGATTTGGATTATTTTGTGCTGCTTTCGAGTGATTTGCAGCTGGATTTTGATAGTTTAGGGCTGGATTTGGTGTTTGGGGCTGGYTTTGGGTGATTTKGGGCTGATTTKGCTGGTTTGTGGYTGAGTTGTGATAATTTGGGGCTGCCTTTTGTTTCTGGATGGATTTTGTGATTTGAGGCTGTTTTGGGACAATTTGTGGCTTGATTTTGGTGATTTGCAGTTRGTTTTGTGATCTGTGGCTGGAATGTGAGGCTGGATTTTAGGGRTTTCCTAGTTTTGTAATTTGTGCTGGGAGTTCAGTGATTTGTGTCTCTTTTTAAACTGGATTCCAGTGATTTGTGACTGGTTTGGGAATTTYTGGGRGGATTTKGRTGGTTTRTGGCTGGGTTTTGTGACTCAGGGTTGGTTTCATGGACAGATTTTGATTGGTTTTGGCTGCATTTTTGCAATTTGTGGCTGATTTGTTGTTTGGGTCTGGGTTTGGTACTTTGTGGATGGATTTTGATGGCTTGTGGCTGATTTTTTGGTGCCTTGTGACTTTGCTTTGGGGCAGATATTGGTGTTATGTGCGCAAATTTTGGTGCTTTGGGAGTGGTTTTGGTGCCTTTGGAACAATTTTTGGTGCTTTGGGGCAGGTTTTGGTGTTACATGCACGAATTTTGGTGCTTTAGGAGTGGTTTTGTTGCCTTTTGAACAATTTTTGGTGCTTTTTGGCTGTTTTTTCAGTGATTTCTGGACAGATTTTGATAGTTTACGCCGGTTTTTTTWRKKGKYTKKKGSYKKTTWMYKGTKRWTTKKYCCYTTTTYCYTTTTKG